TTTCTTTGTTGGTGCCGGTGAACCACCATAAACGGCGATGCATGGGGGGTTGTTAGGGGGAAAGCTTTATATAGGTTTGGCATCGATGGGATGCCGTTTGATGTTTTTTTTTTTTTTTTCCCTTCTTTCTTTTTTAAAGACGGTGAACCGCCATAGGCCCCTACAAAAGGGCCCTAAGTGACATTGCATGGGGGGGTTATTAGGGGGACATGGTTGTAACTTGTGTGGGTTCGGCAAGTTGCCGGCAACGTCCGGATGCGTGGGATTTTGTGTTTTTTTTTTTTTGTTTTTCCTTTGTTGGTGGCAGCACTGACGGTGAACCGCCATAAACGGCGATACATAGGGTGGTATGAATGGGAAAGGTTTATATAGGTTTGGCATCGACGGGATGCCGTTGGTTGTTTGTTTATTTATTTTCTTCTTCCTTTTTTAAGGACGTTGAACTTGTGGTTGTTATTTTCTTATTTGTAGCGGTGTTTTCAATACTCGGGGAGAAAAGGGTCTTTATGTTTGTTCCTTCTCTTGTTTGTCGTTGTGGTTGTTATGGAACTTGTGTACCTTTTGGTGATTGTCCATCTTCTTCAGGTTCGTTTGTCGGATATTCGACACAGTTCTTCATCCTCGGCTCCAGCTCCACGGTTCAGTTTACCCTTCTTTTCACTTTCTTCAGCCTACGCAACATGTCCGCCCCACGGGACACCGGGAAGGGCCCTGTGGAGTCCTCCTCGGCGACAGGGAAGAGGTCAGACGGTGGAAGAAGAGGTCATAACACGAAGACCTTTGACTCCCCTTTCAAGATGGATCCAAAGGAAGATGGGAAACGAGATGACCCCGTTTGACATTTCGTTGCTCGTGGTCGTTATTTGGACGGGTCCAGTACGGTCGGGAGGAAGAACAGTCGTCATTGTGTGTGCAGGTTATGCGGGCGTTCCATATGCGGGGGTGCTCGCGATGCAAAGGAACACTTTTTTCGTGGCGAGGGCTACAGATGCGTCGTGGCAACCCCGGCGGTGTGACACGCGATTTGGTCCAAGGATATGTCAAAATGTCCTGCACATTTAGCTTCTGCCGTGCAAGCCTTGCAGAGTCTCCCTTTAGGTCATCCCTCTTTCCAATGGCCACCGCTTCGTTTTCCCGAGGACTCTGTTCCACTGACTCCTTCTACTGCCGCCCCCTCCCAGATGGCGCCATCTCCTCGTGCACCACGTGCTCCGCTCCCCCCTCGTCCCGCGGTAGTCTCACCTGCACCACTTAATGCGACGACTGCAGCGCCCGTTGATGGTGCCGTTCCCGGTGGGTGCGTGCGTGACTCACGTGCCATTCCATCGGTGCCGACGCAGCCTGATGCGCGAGGCACCGCACCAGTTTCGAATGTCGGGGGACCTGTGCTGTTCGACGAGCCAGGGACTCGTGCTTTCGTCGAGGGTCAAGGGTGGGGGAAGGGCGCTGGAACATCGAGCGTCCTCGCCCCGGTGTTCACCGTGAACAGGGATAAGGATGCTAGAGTTCGACGAGCAGCCGCACCTCCCTCAGCGGCAGAACAACCCGCGACGGGACATCAGGCTGCTGCGTATCCATGGTTGCCGCCCCCTCCTTCGCAGACACGTGGACGGGCACCAGACTTCACTTCCGCACCTGTTTGTGAGGCCGCCGCAATGGTCCTTGCGGGGGCTGGCACCATCCCGCTCGACGAGCCCATTCAAGTTTCGGATTCGTCACCCACTCGTGGGCTCGTAACAGCCCCGACTTCGCAGCACGGTTTCTTTGGGACATTGGATCCTCTGCAAAATTTGCGCAACATTGCTGCTCCGAGCCCAGGCCCACCTGCATCACTTGCGACTGCCGGCGGGGTGTGGGATTCGCTAGGTTGCGGCGTCGGTGCACAAGTGAAGGGCACTTACAGGCAGTAGGCGGTGACATCGTATTACAACGACCCACTGGAGCACGCATGACACCTGCAAATCGTGCGATTTCTTGTCGAGAGCGGCATGGCGTTCAACTGCGTGAAGCTTGCGAGCTTCAAACGCATGTTAACAATGATCATCCCACCTGGGGTTCCCGGGTTGCCCACCCCGAAACCCCCGACATATCACATGATCCGTACCTCGCTTTTGGATGAGCTTGATGCGGAAGTTCAAAAGTGTGTGAAACCCGTCCTTGCTACTTCGGCAACCTACGGATGCACGATCATGACAGACGGGTGGACCAACATTCGGGGCCAAACGTTGTGCAACTACCTCGTCGGGACCATGCGGGGCGCGACATACGTCGCGACAGATGTCATGCGAGGAAAGAAGGATGCCGCCGCTCTGGCGCAGGCTTGGCTGCGAAGGTTGAAGTCCCTTGACATCAAGCTCGCAGACATCACCACGTTCGTCACAGACTCGGCTAGTTCCAAAGTTTCTGCGATGGAGGTGTTCCAGAAGGATGAGAGTGTTAAGCACATCTTCTGGATACCTTGTGTGGCGCACGTCATGGACCTCATCCTTGAGGACATCGGCGACATTGAGTGGGTGACGACCCGCATTGCTCAGGCGAGGGTGGTCACAAAGTTTTTCAAGCGCCATAGCCATGCTCGCGAGGTTTTGCAATCTTTCTTGACGGCTGCACTGTTGCTTCCTGCCGAGACTCGCTTCGGCACGCATGTCATTATGATGCGGCGGCTTCTTAAGTTGCAATCGCATCTCATGAGAGTGGTGATCGACGATCGGTGGAAGGACACTATTTGGGCGACGAAGAAGATTAGAGACGACGCCGCGGAGGTCACAGCATGTGTCGGTTGTCCTCGGTGGTGGGAGGATATGACAGCGTTGTGCAAGTTATTGGATCCCATCATGGACATGCTGCAGATGGTGGACAGCGACACTAGGCAGATTGGCAAGATTTTGTGTCGGTACGACGAGATGATCATGCGTTGTTTGTCAGCATGTGCCTCGTTTGACAGGGGTGAGCAGGACGCAGTTCTCGAGGTGTTTGACAGACGCCGCACAATGTTCAAGTCGGCTTCTCATATTGCTGCCATGATGTTGGATCCCGAGTTTCGAGAGCGCACGATGCCAGACGACGACGAGATGCAGCAGGGTTTGAAAGTCGCTCTTGTTCAGTTCGGGTACCCAGAGGGTTCGGATCAGCACAACGAGGTGCTGGCTGCCGTTGACAAGTTTCACACCAGGGAACCGCCGTTCGACGATGTGGCCATGGACCGAGCGGCGAGGAGCTACACCCATCCAGCCACATTTTGGGAGTCGAAGGAGAAGAGGTTCCCGCACACGGCCTTCTTTGCCGGCAGGATACTGCGTGTGTGGGCGACTGCATCGCCCTGCGAGCGAGCATGGTCCCGCTGGAGCTTCATCCACTCCAAATCCCAAAACAGATTGGAGGTGGCACGGGCCAAGAAGCTCGTGCGATGCCACTGGAACCTTCAACTCCTTGACATGCAGGGTATGTCGGACGATGCTCCCAACGACAGGCCACATCCATACGGGAGTTGGGTGCACTATTGGCAGCAGGTGGAGAAGGAGGTGCCCACTGACCAGCAGCTTGTCGCCGACAAAGGAGCCCGTGTTGCGGTGACGCATGAGGAGTTGTTGCACGCTAGAGAGAGGATGCGTGCCGTGTCCCGCATGGGAGCCGCTCGTCGTTTGCGAGAGTCAGAGAGGAGGAGACGTTGTGGAGGTTGTCGCGGAGGTGGTTGTCAAGCCGGTCGTGGGCAAGGCGGGCGTGGAGGTCCTGACGGGAGGAGGAGTGTCGCGAGTCGTGGAGTGACGGTGGACCAGCTTATACGCAAGCCTCGCCAACGATGGGACGAGGGAGACTTTTTGTACGAGAGCTCGTTGAGTGACGATGAGGATTTCTTCGGCAGTGGCATGCCTGCACAGGATGGCGACAGCGATTTCGACGACCGTTACCCGGACGTGGACGACGATGACGGCTCCGGAGACGATGATCGTGGTGATGGGGGAGATCAGCCACTACCCCGCTCGACACGGAGAGACGACGATAGAGGGTTTGACGAGGAAGCGGGACATTGCCGTGTTGATGGTGACGCTGATGTAGGGAGCGGTGCAGTGGCCTCGAGACCTGCAGACGGTGACACCATGGACGTCCAGGGGGCGGAAGGCGAGCACTGCACAGCCTCGGATGGGGTGCGAGATGGAGCGACTGATGGTGGTCCAGGACTTGTGGACGGCGGTGGCTTGAGGCGTTTGAAGCGTGGACCCAGGGAACGAGACACTATCGCTTCCCGTGTGCGCAGACGTCATGGCGGGGTTCCCGACATTCCAAGAGCAGTAGTCCCTCAATTTGAGCAGATTCCTGTTTCAGAGGACTCTTTGAGCGACAATGCCGACGAGGAGCGGATGGAGGTGATTGACGGGACCGGTCATGCCGTTAGTGACACTTTCAGTATGCACTCGACAGCTCCGACGGGGTCCTCGGCAGCAATCCAGGAGTCGGAATCGGGTCTGGCACCGTCGATGCATCATCCCGAGTTGAAGGGAGACAACGGTGTTCTCCCGGTGATGGACGACGAGGGTTCGGCTCATTCAATGCATCAGCTCACTTCTGCTGGAGCGCCTACATTGTCAGTTGTACAACCTCCGATGTGCGACTACCGCCGTCGGCGGTGGAGCGAGAGACTGTGCCGCCGGCTCCCAGTGCTTTGGATGATCATCCCGATGTAGCCATGGAGGGGGTTGAGGGGCAGCAACCAAGCACACAGGGAGCCGATGCAGTTAACACTGTGTCGCGGCCACCGCGCGCATTGACAGAGGGGACTGTTGATGTGTGTCTAGGCGCGATCTCCCGGACGTGGTCGTCTCACGCACTCCCGCCGCTGAGCATATCGTCGTTGCCCTCGTCGGCCTGGATTGCCTCACCGACAGTCTTCCTCGTACCGCCAATTTACTGGCCATGGACTCGGCGCTCGCCTCGCTCCCGGACTTGTCGACGTTGATATCTCCTAGTCTGCCCCACGTGCCAACGCCCAACCCGCAACAGCCCGTCGCCATGGAACGCGCACCAGGCGCGTTTGACGAGTTTGGAGGCGATACGATTGTTTCTGCCACGCCCACGATTTTTCGTGTTGGCAGGCCACATGAGGTGGACCTTGGGAAGGCCGAGACGGCTACTCGACAGCACCGCGGTGGTCACCGCAGCATCGCACACCGCAGTTTGTCCGATTCCTTTGGTGTTCCTGAGGGAGGGTGTGTACGCGGGGCAGATAACGCAGCCGGCAGATCAGCAAGACCCTCAAGTCCGCCGTCGAGATCAGAGCATCACCCCGTTAGCGGTACTTCCGGCGAATTTACGGGCGTCCCCGCCACGGGCACGATGAACCCCACATGACAGCCTGCGGTCGGGTCCTCTTCGACAGCACGGCGCGACAGAGCCACTGTTTTGCCAACAGTGGCATTCTATGCCACTGAGGGCAGTGCTGGGGAATTGGACGAGCCGGAGCCCGGATTGCAGGCAGACCCTCCGCACCTTGTACAGGGACACGATCCATCGGGAGTGTCGACGGTGCTCGCCACACCGCCATGTCATAGTATGAGGACCGACATGGGAGCGCCTTGCCGACGAAAACCTCTGATGTCCATGCTACGAGGGTCGCGATTCGGTGTTGCGCCTCTCGAGGACGGAGAGATTACTCCTGATGGCGCTGCGTCGAATGTTGGAGAGAGGCCTGGGGGGGCGGACAGCGTCTGCAGGGAGGGTGCAGGCACTGTAGGACATGCAGTGGCAGGTTAGAAGAGACGTAGCAGTGTACTTATCGTCCACGACGACAGCACGGATGTCGCCCCGGGAGAGACCAAAGGCACTGATGATGCGGGGGACTCCGATTACGTGCCTGGACCTCGGGGGGCGGACGGAGATATTGGAGGAGGGCGACGAGTGAGACCGAGGACACGACTTGGGCCATCCGGCCAAGTACTGCAAGGCACAACATCAGTGACGATTCTTGACCCCGTTGATCGGCGAGCTCAGACGCAGCGGCTGCTACGCAGAATGGAGGCCACTCTTCAGGAAACACATGGCTCATCAATCGGTCGCGGAGAGAGAGAGAGAGAGAGAGAGAGAGAGAGAGAGAGAGAGAGAGAGAGAGAGAGAGAATCGACCTCGGCCCGGACTACCACTAGGACGGGAGACCCTTGGCTTAGTCCCGTAGCATGAGAGCCTATAGCCGGGCAGGCAGAGGTCGTAGGGATGTTGCTACATATCTGCTCAACATTGCAGTTTTCTCTTGGCACCCTTGCAGCTTCGCAGTTATCTTATCGTGGTTGGCATGGGATATTGTTGTCGACAACGCGACATTGATATCTCCTGGACTTGGAGAGAGAGAGAGAGAGAGAGAGAGAGAGAGAGAGAGAGAGAGAGAGAGAGAGAGAGAGAGAGAGAGAGAGAGAGAGAGA